GGTTCAATCCCCCAGCACCACATGCCAGCCAGCCCTGCCCCCTGGTGGGTTGAGCTGGCCACACACACACACACACACAAATAAATAAATAAATAATAATAATAAAAAAACTACACAAATGCAAGGTCCTGAGTTCAATCTCCAGTACCACAAAAAAAAAAGGGTTTTTTTTCAGAACTGGGGATTGAACTCATGCCCTTGTGCTTGCCATGCAAGTGCTTATTCTACTGAGCCATCTCCCCGGCCCCCTTAAAAAAAAAAAGAAAGGAAAGTACAGTACTCTATAAAAGGAGGTTGAACAGGATAGCAAAACTGTAACGATCTCCATTGCTCTTAAGTAGGAAAAACCAATATAGTGAATACCAACATACATACAAAACTTTTACACAAATTTAATGCAATCCCAATCAAAATTCCAATAGCATATATCACAGAATTAGAGAAAACAATCCTAAAATTCACTTGGAATCAGAAGAGACCCAGAATAGCAAAGGCAATTCTGAGTAACCAAGGGAAGGTGGGGACTCTAACTTTAAATTATACCATAAAGCTATGGTGATAAAAACAGCATAGTATTGGCAACAACAACAAAAAGATCAATGGAACAGATAAGAAGCAGCAGAAACAACTCCAGACATATGCAGGCACCTTATTTTGATAAATGTGCCAAATACCCTCACCGGAAGAAAAAGAGCCTCTAACAAATGATGTTGGAAAAACTGGCGCTGCACACGCCAAAGGTTAAAATTGGACCCGTACTGCACCCTTCACTAAACTAAATTCAGAATGGACCAAAGATCTAAATATTACCACAGAAACACTAAGCCTGCTGGAAGACAGACTAGGTGAAACTCTTGAAGACACTGGTGTAAGCAAATACTTTATGACTAAGACCCTAATCGCACATGAACTATCAAAACAAATCAACAGCTAAGATCTCATCTTATTAAAAAGCTTTTTCACACAAAGAAAAAACACCAACAGAGTGAAGAGACAATTCTGAGTTTTCTCCAACCCAGAATGTGTAGAAAAATGTTTGCCAGCTATTCCTCAAAGGATTACTATTGAGAGCAAATAAAGAACACAAAAAAAATCAGACCTCCCAAATTTAAAAACCCAATCCAAAAACATGCATCTGAGATGAATACACATTTCTCAGATGAAGAAGTACGGACAGCAAATAAATATTTGAAAAAATGTTCAACATCAGTGATTGTGGTGGATTGACAACTGGTCATCAATTTGTAACACCTAGCTGAAATGAACCAGCAGTGCTGGGTGTTGCCAACACAAAAAGGTATTGTTAGGGAGCTGTTGGTTCTCCTGGGGCTGTTGGTTCTTCTGGAGGAGCTATAGCTCGCTTTCCTGATATAAACTCAGCTGTTCTCATCATTGAAGAATTCAGGACCTTTTGGTCACTGAGGATGGCTACGGCTCACTTTAAGGGACTCTGGTCCTTACTTTGAGTACTGCTTCCTAGCTCTGGGGGGAAGACAGTGCACTGTCCAGTGTCCTGGAGCAGCTTGTCACACTGGCTTTCCTGACATGGGAACGCTAGTTTCCGTCACTGGAGGAGCTCATGACCTCACTGTTGCTGAGGATGGTTGTGGTACTTTCAGGAGAGCTCTGGTTCTTACCTGGAGCATTGTTCCCTGGCTCAAGTGCACATCCCTCAGCCTGCTAGCACAGCTCCATCACTCTGCTGGCACACTTTCCAGCTTCCACCACTGACTCTTGGGGTAACTTGCATGAGACACTGTTGTGGGCCCTAGGCCTCCAGCTGGACTCACAGGGTGTGTTGTCATGGGCCCTAGGCCTCCAGCTGGACTCACAGGGTGTGTTGTCATGGGCTCTAGGTCTTCAGCTGGACTCATGCAGGACATTGCTGTGGGATTGAGACCCTCAGCTCAATTTTTGGGGTCTTTAGTGTGTGGACAGATTTCCCCCACACATCTGTATTTTGAGTCTTTGGGTAACTATTACAAAGTAATCCTATAGTTATGTGTCCTCGTAAACCCTGACTACAACATTGGTCATACAAGACATGCAAATTAAAACAACATTGAGATTCCATCTCACCCTAGAAAGAACAGGTATTATCAATAAATCAACCAATACCTCTTTAAAATAAAACATAGGGGTTGGAGAGATAGCTCAGCAATCTAAGCACCTGCCCGGCAAGTGCAAGGACCCAGGTTCGGTCCCCAGTACCACATGCCATGCCATGCTATGCTGGCCCCAGAACCTGTTCCAGGCACTCTGTGCCAGCCACCAAAACTGGGCATGGTGGTGCATACCTGTAATACCAGTGCTGGAGAGGCTGAGACAGGAGGATAACTACAAGTTCGAGCTACATATCAATACCCTGTACCTAGTAAATAAATATTTTTAATTTAAAAATTGAAATAAAAAATTTTTTTTAATTTTGTGTGTGTCATTGGCCAAGCATTGGCCGTGACTCATCCACATGGCTGCACTGATAAAGGTTCTACAATGTGAGGTACAGGATCTCAGGACAAATCCTGAGGGCATTTCACTGACCTTCTCAGACCAAAAAGCTACAACTCTTGTTGCATAGGTCCTGCTTTACCTTAATCTTAACCATCCAGAAGAAAAGTATGAAGACGAAATCATAAGAAATAAAGCCATGCTGTTAAGTTGAGCTGTGGGGGACTCAAGTCAATAATTTCTGACATTGCCAGTTAAACAGAAGACCCAATGCTATTATGGGCTACTGGACTCTTTTAGAAAATTTTGCTGAGTTTACACACCTATAATATTCAATAACGGAACTTAGAAAAAATGGGGTACACAGATGAATGTCCATTTTGTATCTGTGTATTCAAAGTGGTTGGGATAGATATATAGTTACATTCTGTTAATAAATAGAATGATTTGTTCTAATGGTGTTTGTAAATAGGATCACAAGTCCGCATCTTGTACAGCAATTAACCACTAAGAAGAATATATGCAGTGTATTATTTGTTGAAAAATAAAAAAATAAAATAAAATAAAGACAACATTATGCAGTAAAAAATAAAAATAAAAATAAATAAATAAATAAATAAACTGTGTGTGTGTGTGTGTGTGTGTGTGTGTGTGGCCAGCTCAGCCCACCAGGGGGCGGCCCTGGCTGGCATGTGGTGCTGGCGGATTGAACCGTGGTCCCCTTGCTTTGCTAAGTTTGTTCTAAGCAGGTGCTTTAGACCACTGAGTAATCTCACCAGCCCCGAAATAAAATTTTTTTTAAAAAAATCAATAATCAACACTGGCAGGGCTATGGGGAAAAAGGAACCCTTCTCCACTGTTAGTGGGAGTGTGGACTGGTACAACCACTATGGAAATCAGTGTGGAGATTCCTCAAAAAACTAGGATTGGAGGTCCCACTGGACCCAGCTATTCCCCTTCTTGGTATCTTCCAGAAAGAATTAAAAGCATCATACCACAGTAATATACACATAACTATGTTTATAGCAGCATAGTTTGTAATAGACAAATCTTGGAAACAACACAGGTGCTTATCAACTGGTAAATGGATAAAGAAGATGTAGTGGTTTTTTTATACAATGGAGTACTACTCTGCTAGAAAGAATACACTCTTGAGACAGTCTTAGGATGCACTATGAGACCATAATATTAAGTTAAATAAATTGGACACATGTATAAATTCCACATTGTTTTTCAGATCTGAGAAATCAAAAGTGTAAGTAAGAACCAAAAGGTGGGAGGCAGGGAGGCGGAGTATCCTCACTGGCAAGTTCTGCTCACCCTCAAGGAAGAAACACCCTGAGCTGACAGTCTCTAAAGAACGGGAAGCCCCAGACCACCTCACAAGTTCAGCCACATCTGCCTCCCAGACGCTGAAAATGGAGGCTGGATCAGGGCCAGAGAGACAGCTAGCGACATAAGTGCCTGCCTGGCAAGTACAAGGTCTCAAGTTTGATCCCTGGTACCATAGATAGACAGACAGACAGACAGACAGACAGACAGAATGAATGAATGAATGAATGAATGAATGAATGAATGAATGATTTTTAAAAAGAAAACGAGGGTTGGAGATGGCCTGCAGCAAAGTCTGCTGGGACTGGGTAGGTAAGGGCCACTTCCTCCCGCCATGTGTGACCTACAGCACTATGTGATCTAACACTGGCTTTGACACTCTTCTTCAGGGCCAGATCCCTGTATCAAAAACTGATGCAGGCTCTTGGATGAGGGTCACACCCTCTGTCACATCCCAGTGTGCTCAGGGGCCCAAGCTGGACAGGTACAACTATTGGAAGTGCATGGCATGGTCTTTCCCACAACAGCTAAGAACAACAAGGCAGGCAGCACTTCCTCAGCCTCCAGGTCTCCAGCACTGCCAAAGCTACCACTGAAATCCCACACAGCTCACCCAGATGGCCATAGCCCACCACATGCTTGGCACTGGGGCCAAGGCGGGTGCGCAGGTCAATCACGAGGTCATAGAGCCGCTCCACAGGTAGGGAGATGTCGTACTTGAACACATAGCCATCATGGCTTAGCGCCTCTGTGATCCTCTCCCTCAGGGACCATAGTACCTAGAACAGGACAGATGTCACACGTCACCATGACAGCACCTGCACCACTGTCAGTAGGCAGCCAGGCTCTGGTCATAGGGTAGCAGCATGTTCCCTGTGCACAGGAAGTGTGTCCTAAACCATAACACAGGCCGCCCATGGGCTTGCTCCAGGTCAGCACTAAGACTTCAGGGACCTCCTGGGAGAAGTCAGGCAGCTGCACATCCTTCCCAGAAGAGGGCTGAATGAGGAGGGCCAGAACACGGGGCCAGCCTAGACTCAGTCTGCTGCAAGGCAAGGGGTCCTGAGACCGTGAAATGGAGGTAGGAATTGAGCATGCAGAAGGACCTGACACTCAAGGTCCTGGGAGATCTGTGGGAAACAAAGGGACAAACTGATGGCTAAAGTGGGAAACTGAGTCAGAGTGGGACACAGGAAGGGTTCTGGGACCACATACTAAGATGGGAGGGGGAGCTCACCCAGGTAAATGGATCCAGTTTTCATTTGATTTTGAGCATCCACTGGAGGACAGAAATGCATCTCCCAGCTGTGGGGCCTCTTCCCCTATCAGGCACTGATCTACTAGGATCTGAACCCTGGCACCAGCCCTGCATAGACCCCATCACTCCAGGAGCCACAACGAATCCTTCCAAGGGGACTGTGTTTCCACACAAACCCTGAAGAGCACACAAGAGCCCTCATCACCCAACCTCTCACCCATGTCAGGTCCCTAGCTCTCTCACTGTCATTCACAGAGGCCTGACCACTCCATGCACAGGCACCCATCTGCCTTGAATGTCTCATTGGTCCTGACAGGTGCTGCTGCCTCAGCTCCCCCATCTACCCAAATGCTCCAGCCTCTCCACCCTGGGAACTTTCTAGAACATGCAGGATCTGCCCCCAAGGCCACCTGGCTTGGTTCAAATGCCCTTCAGAACCCTTCAGGTCCCACTGCCCTGAGGCTGACAAGGGACAAGGTCCTGACTGTAGGCTATGCAGGCACAGCCCTTGCTGTCCAGGTCACTATGACAGCCCCGCCAGAAGGGAACCTAGCACATCCAACCAGTGTTGGCTGATGAATGAATGTGTAGAGGTAGCACAGGTATGCAAACCACACCTGCTGGCCACAGCTCCACAGCCCTGGCATAGCACACATCTCCAACTAGCAGGTGAGAACAGGCAGCCAGGCAGAATGCCCCAAGGCTGCTCCTAATCACACAACACTGGCTTCTGCAGATGCGCACTGGGCTCATCTGCAAGACACATCAAAAGTCCAGAGCTTCCAGAGGAAAAACCCCAGAGAAACCATGCCGTACTTCAACACATAGCCATCATGGCTTAGCACCTCTGTGATCTCACCCTCGGGGCCCAAACAGCGCTTCCCCCGCAGCTCATCAGAGAAGCCTCTGAAAGCCCATCAAGAGGGCTCCACAGGCTACACCACACAGACAGGGCCAACACACAATACTGCTGACCGACCAGCACCAGAAGGATCTTCTGGCACAGGGCTGGATGTCTCAAGGATCTTCGTGGAAAGCCTGTAGGAACAGCAGGCAGGAACAAAGGGGATCATGTAGCCACAACTCCCACATCTGCTGGCCCTGTGTCAACTGTGAGCCACAAGTACAGGACATGAAAGGGCTGCAGACAGACAGCCAGGGAGACAGTAGGCCACGCAAGCCCACAAGCGACTCCCAGGTGGTTCTGGCCAAGGAGATGCCTTTCTGAGTCAGGCAGCCATCGCACACAGTCCCCAGTGGAAGAGGCACACAGTGGAGCAACAAAGGTACCTACATGAGGAAGGAGGAAGGGCGTCTCTGTGCCTGTGGCCACCAGGCCAGGGTATGTCTGTTACCACAGATGATCTGCCAGGACTAAGGACAATGGGACCAAAAAAATAGGGACCCATCAGAGGAAGCACAACTGTTCCATGCACCCAGCTGGGTGCTGAACTGGGCCATCAGGCAGCAGACCAATGTCTACCATTCAGGGCACCAGACTCTAGAAGATGCCCAGGACACAGTCACGAGCAACCCACATTCCTGCCCTCACTGGCAAACACAGATCACACCACCATGTGAGAATGAGGGGACATTAAGGCATGGGGCTGGCAAAAGCAACATCTTGTCACCAAGCTCCAGTCTCAAGACTGTACAGGACAAAGATGCACTGTCACTGATGCAGAACTGGGTGTCTCTGTGGGCTAGGGTGCAGGCAGTCCTGTACCTAAGAAATCAAAAGCCCAAGGCCGAGGTGGCTTCATGCAGAATATCCAGACCTTCTCTAAACAGAAACCACATATGTGGCTGCCCTGCCCCCTGCTGGCCACTCACCACACTGCAGCCAAGGACAAGGTGGACACCAAAGAGACAACTCCACACTGCCAGGTGCCTAGAATGACCCACAGTGCCCCCACCAGCCCCACAGCTCTGTTCACCCTGCAGCTTGGTTGGGAGGATGAGAGGGATACTGTTTACTGAGGAAAATTATCTGGTCCCTACGAACACACTTTTCATCCCACATGCAACTTGACTCCTGGTCATGCCTCAGCAATGCAAGACAAACCACACTGTCCAGACCCCACAGCTGCATGGGAGAGGGAAGAAGGGCCCAAACTACATAAGGGCACCTGGACTTTTCTCTGGTCAGTGCCCACAGTGCCATCAGTCACCAGGCCAGAGTCTAGTGCCTTTTCCAAGAAGCCATCCAGCTTCTCCGCATCGTGGTCTCCACTGGAACCCGAAGTCTCAACCAGGATATAGAAGGGACTCTCTGGAAGAGGCAGAAAGACAGTCAGCCAGACCTGGACTATCCCTGCAGAGACCAAACTCTGGGCCACAGAGCCTTCTGCCAACCCCAAGTTTCCTAGAAGAGGCTCTGTACCCCTGAAAATGCTCCTCCCCAGAGTGACCCTGAGAGGGCTCCTCCCTGCTGCCACAGTGGCACTGCTGGTACTAGGGCCCCTTCTCCCATTTGGAGACCTCCAAGCTAAGCACAGGAGAAGTGGCTGTACCTTGGACTGGCCTGGTCAGGTGGAGGTGCTGCCCAACCAGCTGCATGCACTCAGCATCCATGAACTCAAAAGCAGACAGGATCTCACCCAGCATCCCCTTGCAAGTGCTGAAGACCTGCAGGACCTCCGTGAAGCCTGGGCAACCTGCAACAGGTCACAGGGAATCATGGTCAGGCAGCACAAGGACAGTGGGACTCAGAGCTGCAACCTGTAGGTGCCAGGTATCCAATACTCATGCAACTTGCAAGGTGAGGAGAGGAGGTTAAGGGCACACCAGCATGTTGGCCAACAAGTTTGTCTCAAGGTCACCTCCAGAGTCCAGGACAGGAAATGTGCCTAAGAACTGTCATACAGCACCCACCTGGCAGGGAAATCCAGAGGGGACACACCTGGAGTCTGCACATGTGTGCCTACAAGAGGTAGCCTTTGGAAAGTGGCCGCCTGGGTTTCTCTTAGCATAATGGACACCCGGTCTCATCTGCTCTTACAGGTTTCTAGACACCCCAAGGTACCTGCAGCACTCCAGGCTAGGGCCTACCAGCACAGCCCCACCCAGGGAGCTGACTGAACAAGTAACAAAGCAGATGTTCTTGGGAGTAGGCAGCCCCAGAGACCCTGCAGTGGGGGGTTACACGTGACCAGGCTTTAAAGCAACCAATGTCAGCCAGCAAAAGCAAGGCAACCCCCAAGGAAGGTACCTGCACCTCTGCTTCCTCAAGCCCCAGAGCTCTTCATGGCAATGAACTGGCACTGCTAGGAAGCCTCATACACAAGACACAGGGTGGTTCAAGCAAAGCCTCAGGACAGCCAGCACCACAGACCACAGACCCCAAACACTGAACTGCCTACCACATTGTCATGCACAGTACCACAGAAAATCACACTGGCTGTATGTGAATACAGGTAAAGTAAACTACAAAAAGTAACACTGCACATCTTAAAAGAAAAATGAGAAAAACTTCCAGAAACAAAAACTATAACCATCAAATTTTTTTTTTAATTTTTTTTTAACCATCAAATTTTAAATCCAGTGGACAGCAAGAGGCCCTCCAGGATGTGCCTGACCATGCAGGCAATGCCGCAAAGGGTAGTAAGCACAGATGGAAAAGTGGTCAAAACCAAGCACACAGCACCAGGGGCACATAGGGAGGGCAGGAAGATCAGGAGCCACACAGACAGCTGCAAGTCCCCCTGATGTCCAATCACTGTCCCCAAAGAGAAAGAAACAGGGGAGACCTGTTTCTTTAAGCATTAACACAGGACTTCCCCAAACTACAAAAGCCACTTAAGTTCAGCAATTCCAAAAATATGAAAAGGAAAACTTCAGAAGACTAAAAGAAAAGAAGAGGCGCAGGCACAACAGCGATGAAGGACCAGGGCTGAGACACCAGCAGGGGTTCTCCGCGGCAGCAGCAAATATACTCTCTGGCCTCCTGTGTCTCCTAGGCTTGGGTTACAGACCCTTCAGTGCAGGTCAGTCTTTGTGTCCAGGATGAAATTCAAGCAGTTCATGGGTGGACAGAAAGCAGAACACAAAGCACAGCCCATTCCCTCTCACAGAAGTTAACATCTTGCTTGGTATGCAGACAGGCACAAAGGGGGTACTCTCTTGCCTCCTCTCCCACTGACAACAGCAGTGTAGCAACATGGGAACAGCCCGAGACTGCCTTCCTGCACAAGAGGGGACCACTCACACCAATCGTGCCTGCAGACGACAGCCAGTCCCCCAGACTGACTTGAGCCCTCACCTTCAGATTCATACAGCGCTGTCACTCATGGTGGACGTAACAGCTATGAAACCAACATCTGATGGGAATTTCTAACCTGGACATCAACACCAAGTATCAGTGTCCCTGAAAGTAACCATTTTTCTAAGCAAGAATTAAACTGTAGTGTGCAAGGCTGTTGCAGGCAAGCCAGCTACCCAGATCTCTTGGACTGTAGAGGGGTACTATGTCCCTGAAGAAGGACAGCAATGGCACAGTGACATCAGGAGTACACACAGGTATTCAGACAGCATTGTATTCAAGTGACCTGCTTGGTCTTCATCTGACTGGGATCAGGTATCTAACCATGGGTCTGAATCAGAAAAATTATAACTCAACCTATCATTTTCCCTATTGTGATTATTTTGATCATGGGATCTGCTTGGCAGATCAGTGCCTTGAGGAGATGTACACTGAAAAAACTAACAGCTACCCCAGTTGCTAAGGAGAGCAAAATGCATTCCCCTGCCAGCTCCACAGAGAACTGCTCTATGTACCAGAAACAAGATGTAGAGTGGAAAACCTGTTTGAAATTAGTTTTGCAAAGGTTCTTCTTTTTTTTTTAATTTTTTATTTTATTTTATTGTGTGTGGGGGGCCAGCTCAGCCCACCAGGGGGCAGGGCTGGCTGGCATGTGGTGCTGGGGGATTGAACCGTGGTCCCTGTGCTTTGCCAAGCTTGTTCCAAGTAGGTGCTTTAGACCACTGAGCCATCTCTCCAGCCCGCAAAAGTTCTTAAAGACAAAGAAATTCTAATAGACTTGTATTTATGTCCTCCTATGACTGGAATTTAGGAACTTGGAGGCTAGTAGCTCACTCTTTGAAGGACTAGTCACTCTACAAAGAGAGCACATGGACATGAGACATCTAAGGTGTGCAACACAGTGAGTGATAAAAAACCCCTCTCCCCAAGAAATAACTTCACCAAAAGGAAGTCTCAACAGCTTCTTCCTTTTTTTTTCCTGTATTTTAGGGAATGTTCTTCAGGGTATTCAGGGTCTCACTACTAGATCAAACTCATAGTGATTCTCCTGTTTACAGCCTCCCAAGAGCTGGGATTACAAGCACACGCCACCACGCCCAGCCTCAATCATAGTCTCAGTGTGCCCCGGGGGCAGGGCCGGCACGGCAGGCCTGGGGATCGAACTCCAGCCCTGCTGGCAGGTGCTTTAATCCACTGAGCTATTTGGCTGGCCCTAACAGCTTCCTCCACATTCTTTTAGAAAATTTCTATATATATATTACATGTTTATACACTTGTGGTATATATTTACATTTGTATGTCTATTTATATTTGTATATATGTACACAATTTCCTTGTCACAAATGGAAACGCACAGAAATTCTGTTCTATACTTATAAAAAACTAATAATGTAAATCTTGGAGATATTTCCATGTTAGCATAAGAAGGGTACTTTTGTTCATTTGAAGAAAGGATCGCTCAGGGCGGGGCCTGTAATATGATTCCATGGTACAAGTCCCTGCCTAGCAAGTACAAGGTCCTAAATTCAATTCCTAGCACAAAAAAAGAAAGAAAGGGGGGCGGGAGGCGGAGGGGGAGGAAGAGGGAAGGAGGGAAGGATCTTGCTATGTGTCCTAGACTAGCCTCAAACTCATAGTCTCCTGCCTCAGTCTCCCAAGTGCTGGGATTATAGCCTAGCCCATTCTTTTCTAATGGCTCCATAAGTTTCTACTGTGTGACTACAGTTCCAGTGTGGGCATTCAGATTAAGTTCTGTCTGTGGTATAAGCAGTATCAGTGGAATATTTCTTGCAGGCAGAGTATAACTGTAGGGTAATTTCCTTGAACGAAATTCCAAGATCAGTTGAGGTATGCCTTTTTATTATTGACAGACATGTCTAACCTATATACCCTCTAAGGGTGTTTGGGCCTTGTTTTGAATCTGCAAGATTCTCACATCTTCAGCTTTCATTTTCTTTTTTTTCCTAATTAAACGGTTGGCTGACACAATGTAAGATCAAAATAAGAACGATACTACTAAATGAAACTGTATTTATACTTTTAAAAAGTTCTAAGACGGCCTAGGATGGGGGTGACAGCAAGGATACAACAGCTTCCCATCAACAATGAATCCAGAGTCTCTAACCTGACAGTAGTGGCAGCAGAGAGCAGGGCGGCCTCAGGGCAGCAACTGGGGAAAAGATAAAAGCCTTGAGGGCACTTGGCACACAGACTCCACCACAGCAGACAAAGAAGTCCAGAATTATGAGGACGGATTTAATAGAACACTGGACTTAAGAGGAATGGGAAGCAAAGGCACCAGCCCATGAAGTCATAATAATTAGGGTGATTGGACTGAAAAGACATGACAAAAGTAAGATCCATGACTAGTAGAGCGTGTCAGAGCGAAAGTGGCATTAGGGAATCCACACTCCTAAGCATCCATGGAGGATAAGGCATGAAGTGGCCCGGACTGGGAAGTTGAGGACACCTTCTGTTCCTTAGAAGAGGTGGGAGGAAATGACAGTAACTACCCAATGCAAATGACAGCATGAAAGGAGACAAGGGACTAGGGGGGAAGGCAGGAAGGGGAAAGGAGCTTTTCCCAACACTGCTCCAACAGGCAGTGGGTCTGATGACATGGACCCTGAGTGTGGACACATTGTTGCAGGCATGTTCTCAACCAGGAGTCACTCCTCAGGGACAGCACTCACTACCTATGGTGATTAAGACTGTGTCCTACAAGAGGGGTGCTATCCCACAAGACCGTATAACTTTGGTGAGTAATCCAACTTCCTGAGCAAGAAGACTGCTGGATCCCAGAGAACAAAAACAACTACTAACCAGTGTACTAAAAAGGAGGGTCACCAAAGGAAAAGCTGTCTTCTGTGCTTCTGCAGAAAGCTATCTACACGGTCAAGCAAGACCATGACCCACTCTGGTGGCAGACACTGTCAGAGGAGCTCAGGGGCTCTCTACATGGCTCCAAAAGAAACACTGAAAAAACCTTAACGAACCTTGGTATTTGGGGGGGGGGAAAAAAAGTTAATTTGATTGATACCAGTCTCTTTAACTTGGTCTTAGACATTCAGGAAAAAAAATTATTAAAGATATACTAAAATGAGGGGCCGGGGAGATGGCTCAGTGGAATAAGTGCTTCTCTGGCAAGCGTAAGGCCCTGAGTTCAATCCCCGGTTCCACCAAAAAAATAAAGCTATACTAAAATGATAATATAGACAAAACATCAAAAGGGGCTCCAACCACTGACCTCTGTCGACAGTTTCTGGCTACACTAGTAAACAGATCTAAGAGCCAACTGTTTACAATTACCTGATTACAACTGCTACTCCAATCTCTTAAAAACAGTATCTATGACTTCTTTTCCAATCTGCTTTCTAGTCTTCATGCTTTAAAGTTTATTTATTCTTGCTTAGTGAAGAGGTAACGTTCTTTCATTTTCCCCCACAAAAGAGACTCTAGCTCAAACCCAATTACTTGACCTTCTCACTCATCTACACCAGCAGATATGAACCCACCTTATCCAGCTAACATGGTCCTGATAAAGAAACACAACGGAAAGAATGAACTCTTCATAGAGTTTGAATAAGAGTGAGGATATTTAAATGAGAAGGAATTGCGAGAAACCTTAGCTCTTTCTTTTCTATCAAACGAGAGTGCCTCCACACTAGACTCTAGTCTACCTTGGGCACCCCATCCCAAACACACCAAGTTACTAGAAATGCCTGCTCAGTTTACATTTTGGGAACACAGCTAACAGCTGAAGATGAATGAACACCCAAGGACTTTCAGTGCCCCATACCTTATCCCTCCCCTCCCTTAACAATTCTATTCAGCAATCCTTCATACTGTTTAAACTAGCCAATCAGGATAGATTATAAACCTTCAACCCAAACAATGAGGAAAAAAGTCAACTGCTTCTCCTGCTTCACCAGAACACTGTGCACCTACTACCCCAGTGCTAGGGTATATTTGTACCCTTTTGCAAAAGTAAAAAGGCTTGTTGAAAAACATCCTAGCCTAATGCAGGGAGATACACCTACCACCACACTCTTGGAGACTGAGGCAAAAGAACTACAATTTTGACAACTTAGAGACTTAGAAAGATCTTGTTTCAGAATTTATAACTTGTTTTTTTAAAAAAGTGGGAATATAGCTCAGTTTGAAGGCCCTCGGTTCAATCACTAGTGCTGAAAGAAAAAGGAGGGAGGGTCCTGAAACCTACCACACGTGACATCATTTCCCTCTAATCTCACTGCACACTACCTAAAATTCGAGCACAGAGGGGCAAAGCAGCACAAGAGAACCTCAGTTTGGTTTGTGTTATGGTTTGTATCTAGATGTTCCCCCAAAGCCTCATGTTTCATGGGGTGAGCTTCAAGAGTTTGTAATTAATTCATGATCCAATGCTGGGATTATGAGTGTGGGTGCTACACCTGTCCTGGGGCAGAAAGCCTGAATGCAATATAAGGGGAGGAAATAGGCTTGCTCACTGGCGTTGCTCTTCTCTTTTTGTTCATGCTGTTTTGCTGTTTTCTGCCACCATGAGCTGCTGCCCTCTGTCATGTGCCACTCTGCCTTGGAGCCAGCTGATTATGGACTGAAACCTCCACAAACTGAGCTAAAGAAATCTTTCCTTCCTTAATTTTGGATGTCAGGTATTTTGTCCCAGCAACAAGAGAAGATTAATCAAGACAGTTATAGATAAAGTATGGTCAATGCACGACAGGCAAAGGTTTCTAATTGGAGGCCATACTCTTTGAGCACCAGGGTACTAGGTCCTGACCCCTGACCCCTCTGGGAACAGAGAAGCCAGAACAAACAGGTCCCTCCCACCCTCACCCTGCCAGTCCTAGAAATCCCAGGGCTGTTTCCCACCATCTAGCACAGCCAAGGACACCTACCAAGGAAGGCCACATTCACAGCCTTGGGCCTGGGAGGGCACAAGATGGACACAGCTGTGATGACCCCCAGGGTGCCCTCCGACCCAATGAACAGCTGCTTCAAGTCGTAGCCTGTGTTGTCTTTCCTCAGGGATGTCAGGCAGTCCAAGACAGTGCCATCAGCCAGGACCTGGAAGGGAAGAGACACAGGCCTTCACACTGGCCAGTTCCAACATCTGCCTTTGCACTTTTCCAGCCTCCATAATGAGGGTAGTATCCCAATCCACCCCACCCACAGCAGGAGCTTCCACCTGCTACAGAAGCAAAATGACCCCAAGAGTCACTTGGCTGGACAAAGGAAGGATTTTTTTTCTTTCTTTCTTTCTTTCTTTCTTTCTTTCTTTCTTTCTTTCTTTCTTTCTTTCTTTCTTTCTTTGTTTTTGGTGCCAAGAAGAACTCAGGACCTTATGCTTGCCAGGCAGGTGCTTATGCCACTGAGCTATAAAGAAGGATTGGGTGCTTATGCCGACCAAAGGAAGGATTTTTCTTCCTGGTTGGAGCAAGATTCCCCCAACTTTACCATCACCATGCACCCTAGAAGCTCAGTGTCCAGCTGCTAGAGGGAGGCCTGCTTGAAGAAAGGATAATACCTGGGGAACACAACTAAGACAGAGCACCTAGGGAGCCTATCTGGGGCATACATGTGGGGGAGCACACATAAAGAACATACCAGGATGAACACACCTGGGAAAGCACACTTGGGGAATATACCTGGGGAGTATATCTGAGAAATACACTTGGGAACACACTTGGTGGGGTGTACCTGGGACAGCACACCTGGGGGAACATACCTGGGAGGAACATACCTGAAGTAGTACTGCAGTGGTTCTGCCTACACTGGGACCCTTTTTCCCTATAAGCATTGTGGTCCCCAGACTGTGAGCCTCAAGTTTGCTGGCTGGTTCTTAGAGTTTGAGGCTTACTGACAGGCTTACTTGGAAACAAGAGAAGGCAATGTACCAAGAAAATAAACACCAGCCATCAGAAAACAAAGCTACTGGGACACTGTGACTTCAAGAATAAACAGTTTTGGGGCCAGGGAGATGGCTCAGTAGAATAAGCACTTCCCTGGAAAGCGTAAGGGCCTGAGTTCAATCCCTGGTTCTCAAAAAATAAATAAATAAATAAATAAACAAACAAACAAACAGTTTTGTTTTTGTCTTCTACCTGAGTGAACAGGACAAAAGCCCTGCCCTTCAGAAACTGCAACGGGTGATAGGCAGGACTGCACAGATTCTGGGAAACAAGCTGTTGCTGGAGGCCCTCACTAACAGCTCTGACCACAACAGGAGGCCAGGCCCAGGTAGGACACTGCTGTGCTGCGTCCCCTGGTGGCTCCTCATGTGGCTGTGCCATCTGTGGCACAAGAAGCAGAGCAGGCCTCCTGGAGTGGAGTGTGGAACCCAGGGGCTGGCGCAATGGGACCTCTAATCTGGGTTGTGGCCCTGATTGCCTGAGGTGGCCTCCTGCATCCTCACCATCACCTGGGCCCTGAAAAAACAGAATGACTGCAAGACCCCCACAGCTCTGCCCAAGCTGGCACCAGCTCACCACTTCCAGGCCGAGGACAGTCCCCCGTAGCGAGCCATAGCGCAGGAACCGCAAACCACCTGCATTGGTCGCCACGTTGCCCCCAATGTGGCAGCTGCCCTTGGCTCCCAAATCCAGAGGCATGATGAAGCCCCGCTCCTGCACATAGTGGTTCAGCTCCTCCAGCACACAGCCCGCCTGGCAGAGTAGGATTCCTGTGGAGAGCAAAAGTACTGCCACGGCCCATGGCTCCGGGCACACAAGAACAGTCATGGCTGGGAGCCCAGCCCTGCTACCCTGCAGATGCGAACCAGCCAGAAGGAATGCCCAGTGCAGAGCAGAGCTGAAGAAGAGGCCTCCCTTTCGACCCTGCCCAGCCTCTAAGTCACCTTTGCAAAAGAAAAACTAGAAAGTCAAAAGTGGAGAAAGGGCTGGGGAGATGGCTCAGTGGAATAAGTGCTTCCCTGGCAAGCGCAAGGGCCTGAGTTTAATCCCCGGTTCCACAAAACGGTAAAAAAAAAAAAAAAAAGTGGAGAAAAACCACGCATGCACTCATATGCATCACCACACTATGGAAAAGTGCTATGGCCACAATGTGTCAGAGTCTATGGGGACCAGAGTGACAAGTGGCCAATGCCAGCCACTCTGCCTCGCCAGCCTATGACACACACATTTGTTCACCGCACCGCAGCGCAGATGGCTGACAAGGAAGGACAACCCTGACTAGCACAGGGAGGGACATGGTACCATGTCCCTCCCTGGGGGCAGCATAGACTTACCAGACACGTCATGGAAGCTGATGACCTGGTTCATGAGAGCAGTGGAGAGGATGATCTCATCGAAGACGGGGACACTGCCTCCCACCAAGCCTGTGTTCCCTCCCTGTGGGTTCACAGCCAGGTTCCTCTGGTGACAGTGCCTGAGATGAAGAGGGGCATCAAGCCAGCATCTCCACTCCCAGGCCAGTATCCCTGAAGGCAATACCACGGGGCCAACACTTGCCCCCCAAGCCTGGTCCCTGCCCTCAGCTCCCCAGTGCTTCTCCCACCACACTCATGGGGAGTCTGACCAAGACAACATGTTTCATGGAACTGCACAGGCCCTGTGCCTGACGCTTTCTTCAATCACAGTGGGGCAGTGAGTGTGACCTGACTCATCCTCTGTGGCCTCACCTCTAAGGAGAGTGATTCCTAAGAGCCCAGCAAGTTCCCGTGGTGCCCACACCTTACCATCTTCACTCTTATTAGTCCCTCAGCTACTGCAGTGTCCCCATACCCCTGACCCACACAGCCCCAAACCATTCCTTGTGGTCAGCATGGGCAACTCCTGTCTACCCAGGTCCACTCTGCAAAGACCTAAAGTGAGGACTCCGATAGGGAGGAGTTTGGGGAAAGAGGTACACAAAATGAGCCCCAGGAGACAACATGCTACAGGGTCAATACTGCAAGTGTGACCTGTGACCATGACAAGTATCTCCTATCTCCACCTAGGATACCATATTTACTATTACCTGAGGATGCAGGATACCTCCTCTGTGGTCCGGGGCCTCAGCAGCACCTTGCTACACCCTGAGACAGAGAACCACACATCAGCTGGTAAGAGGGAAGAGATCTGGGTATCTGAGCTCATGCAAAAGGATGATCTCTCCAAATACTTGTTCTTCCCAAGGGGGTGAGTCACAAAGCACAGCTGTCAGGCCCCACATGCTCGAAGACAAGATAGGAAGAGAAAGCGAGGCCCAGTGACATGATAGGCAGGGAGCTGGTCTGGCCACAGGGGTCAGCATGTAGTAGTGCTGCAGAAACCTGCCATCCTCCACTTCCACTAGGACAAAGATGGCCAGGGCCACACCGAGGGACACCCAAGAGGATTCTCTGCCACAAAGTCAAAGTATCCCGCTGAGACTCCAAACACCCTGCTGCTCCTCAAACTGCCACCTGGTGACTTAGGACATGTTTCTCATGCTCACACATCAGCTACTACAACAGCTGCCAGGCAGTGATTTTTAATCCGTCCACCACCATGATGCATTCACTTGGCCATCATGTGAGGGGCTGGCTCACAGAGTCCTCTCACACACTGCCTTTTCCATCTCACGCCAGAAATGGTGGGTGGCAGGCCTGCTAAACTTGTACTTAGTCACTGCCACCTCAGACAACCAGGTTTCCCTCAGCCCTGTGGACTTCTTCAAGCCTTGGAAGAAGCTGTCATCATTCTTTCTGCAATTCTAAGAATTAAACATTACACAGTTCCTATCTCACTTCCTGACTCTGAAAGACACAAATTTGCTTGTTACCCATGAGAGGCTTTTTGCTGAGTGGGCTGTGCTGCACTGGGGATGCCAGGCTGAGACAGATGTCTGAGGCTTTTCATCCTGCATAGGCTCAGAGGTGGGAGCCTACTGGCAAAGTTTGAGATCCCCACACATAAAACATCCTACAGACTTCTGAATCTTCCTGTCAAACACAGAAAAGTCCAGGCAGGATTCGTACTCTCAGGACCTCAGCTAATTCCAAGGGAAAGACAGTGACAAGGGCCTCCAGATGCCCCACCACGTACACAGTGCCAGGTCCACAGAGCACAGAGGAGGCAGGAAGAGCACACATACTGGGAACTGCCCAAACCCGGGTCAGGAAATGACCATCCTAAACATGTGGGGCAAAAAAAACAGCCACATGCCATGCCCACCCACAGGCTGCATCACCTTCCACGTCACCTGGGTTGGTGACAACCAAACAGTGCCCCTCCCCAACATTTCAAAGGGTCTTAGACCCCCAGGAGCACCATAGTCCAACTAGCCTGACCTGAGCAATTTAGTGACTCAGTGTGACCCTTTCTCAAAATAAAAAATTAAAAAATGGTTGAGATTATTATAGCTTATATCTAAAATGTCCCCCAAAGCCTCTTGTACTCCCAGGTGGGGGGTCTAGGGAAGTGACTGGTTCCTGGATATGTAATACTAGACCATGGTGTGTGATGTTGGATTAGTCCACTGATTATTTTAACATAGTTCTGGGTATGGATGCTGGATTTATTAAAAACGGAAGAGCCACCCTGGTGTGGTTAGCACCAGCCGAAGGGCTTATAGCCTGGGTGGAATAAAAGGGCAGTGAGAAAGAAGCGTGCACTCCTCTGATGCTGCCCTGCCTTGGAGCCAGCTAACTAGGAGCTTAAGCCTCTGCAAGTTATGAGAAAAACAAACTTTTCTTCTTTAGACCTGCAGGTGTCAGGTATTTTGTCTCAGCAACAAGAAAGTAAGGCATGGGGCCAGGGAGATGGCTCAGTAGAATAAGCGCTACCCTGGCAAGCACAAAGGTCTAAGTTCAATCCAAGTAAGGCAGAGCTATCTATCACTCAGTGCAATGGTTCAATTCCAAGTACCATAAAAGGGGGGGGGGAGAAGGTTGTGTACAATGACTTATACCTAGATGTCCCACAGAGCCTCATACCCTCATAGTGGGGATTCTGAAGGTGACTGGATTATGAGGGTTTATATGGGGTTATCTGTTAGGTGGTGGGCCTGGTTGAAAGAAGCAGGTCACTGAGGGCATGGCCTAGAAGAGTTCATCTCTCTCGCCAGCTCTTCTCTTCTCATTTTCTCTGTTTCCTAGACACCATAAATCAAAATAAACCTCTACTCCTTTTATACTCTGGGTACCAGATATTATGTCTCAGCAACAAGAAAAGTGACGAAGACAGATTTTGGTAACAAGAGTGAGGTTGTTGCCAGGCTATAGTATCTGACCATAGGGTTCAGAAGCCTTTGGAACTGGTTTGCGGAAAAACATAAAAAGGGCTGATGTGGGCTAGTAAAGCCCTAGGATGCTGTGAGCCCAGACTGATGGGAGACTCTGGTCATAGCTCAGAAGACCAGCACACTGACAGAAATACAGTTGGTCAAGATTAGGCTCAGGATGTTTCAAGGCACCACTGAGATTTAGACTCCAGGCCATCTGTCTATATTTTGCCCAGGTCCAGAAACATTGCAGAAAACTGAGATTAAGGGTAGTGGATTAATTAATCTGGCAGACTAAATTTCAAGGCAGTCTAATATTGAAGTGGTGACACGGCTACTGCTGGAGGCTTTTAGGCATCTGTACCTTGAGAATCAAGAGCAAACAGTTCACCAGAACAAGTTTAAGTTTTGTGTTTGATCAGAAAGGTAGCATCATTATGGCCTGCAAAAAAAGTAGAGAATTTGGCTGCTGAAAAGATTACTTACTATTAAGAAGCCAAGTACTTTGGAAGAAGATAACAGAAAAGAAGGCCTGAAGGAATCTACAAGAACCAGCAGGACTCCTCCCTTTACAGATCAAAATTACAAAGGTGAGTTTTATTTGAGGAGAGAGCCCCAGAGCATCATGCTTAAGAAAGGGCACCTAGAAAATTTACTGGCTCACAGTGCTCAACCATCCAGCCATGACATAGGAAAGCTCACTCCCACGCCGGAATGGCAGCAGACCCTGGCATCATTCACATGATAATGGTTTTATGCAGGAGTTGTGGAGTCAGCAATACTTCCATCCAGATTTCAGAGGAAAGCCCGGCAAGCCCGGCAGTATGCTTCTGAAAGGCCTTTCATAAAGCTGTGCATGTAAAAGCTAAAAGCGCACCTCAGGAAGCTGCAATGTCTGAGGAAAACTGCAGAAAGTGACCAAAGCTACTCTAACAGAAGAGTCATTGAGATCTACAAGAACCAGCAATGCCATAAGGCAGAGCCACTCAAATCATTTGGAGCTCACATTTCACCACAGCTTTCCCCAGATAGTGGACACAGAACCAGGGGATATAATGTTTGCCCCACTGGGTTTCAGTCTTG